GACCTAAACTTCTTGGATGTTTAACTGCCATATTTTGAGGCCTATACTCAACTGGTCTGAGGTATTTAAAGGACAGTTTTTGCTCCTTTCCATGCAAGTTGACTAAGCTCCAGGGAACTATGTAGCATCTGTCAAAATGTCCTGTAACTGTGGTGAGTCACCTGTCCTCTTGATCAAGGAGTCCATGAAGACCCCAACAGACAGACTTGAATCAGTGTGCATTATACAGAGAGGAGGGTCAACACAGAGGAAACATTTCCCCCATGCTTCCAAGTGAAGCCCCAAAAGGAAAGTATAACCAAAGATAAACTTGATCAACATAATTCTTTAAGAGTCCATGTGTATAGCTAAAGGCTACATAACAAGAAAAAATGCCACACAGAAGATACATTAATTTGAGTTGTTGGTCAGAGTGGCCCAAGAGACTCCCAGATATAAAACTGGGAAATTGAACAGCAGACCCAAATCTTATCTAAAGGAATGTTGGCAACTGTTTACTGCTAGATGAGGAAAAGCTAATCTTCCTAGAACAAGGATCTCTAGATAGGCTGACTAGATTCAGCAAATGGACTGGGGAACAGCTGAGGGCACTGACAACACAGTGGACACCAACAAAGATGGCAGAGTATATGGGCTCCAGTGGGGGGGATATGGGAGGGTGCCATTTGGGATGTGGGTATAAAGATGAATAAGATTGTTTAGGAAGTTCTGTATGAAATACAGAAAAATCAATTAATAAAAAAATGGAAAAATATGACAATTGAAAAAAACACAGGTCTATTATTTTTCTGCAAGTATTTGTGAAAGTCACATTTACATTTTCTAAAAATTATATTCTGACATTTTTAGAAGTGATTTTGTAGTTCAATTATTGATAAATTATCTATTGTTTAATTTTGTATTTGTTAAGATATAATCCCATGTACATAGAATTAAAAGTCATTGTAGTGCTGTCATTATTTATAATTTCTAATATGAATTTATATTAATTTTTCTCAATTTAATTTGTTAGTAGAAACATTATATGTAAAACATATTCAGGTTGTTCTGAGCAATTAAAGGAACTCATCTTACAAAAAATGTCAGAATTTAAATAAATAAACTCTTAAGGGCTGTAAGTAAACCAGGATCTCTACTAATCCTGATCCAGGCCCAATTCAAGGGCCATCCAACTCAAATGGAGGAAGAAACAGTGACTCGTGCTAAGGCAATTGCTTCCGGCCTCGCTGGTGAAGTTTGAACCCTGAAAAATGTAGAATGCAAAGCCAGATTTCAGTGAGTTTCCCAATGAAGAACTAGAGCCCCCTGTTAATCCACTATTGATGAGAACTTTTACTTTTAGCTTTAGACATTGATTTATGTCTTAATGATACATATTATGAAGAAATATCATGTCAGTTTTGTATATCTGAACTTTTCCCTGTAATGATGACTTTGTGTTTTGTTTTTTGTTTTTGGATTTTGTTGTTGTTGTTGTTGTTTTGGGGATAAAACAAGACATTCAAGTCTAGAGTGCATCTGAAGAGTTGGGGTTTAATTAGCGCTTAGTTTTGGAGACAAAATACCTCAT